ACAACATGGAGTGGGTACTTGAGAGTATGGTGAGCCTAAACAGTGCCCTGAGACAGCCTCTCCTCACACCTCAGCATAGCTGTGGGACTTCTGCTGGGCTGGGATGCAGCCACAAGCACCTTTGCAGTTCAGAATTTCTCTGAGAATAAAGTCCAGGCCAGCTCCAAGGAGAAGGTTAGCTGAACCAAGGTTAGGCAAAGGTGAATGGAAAATGGCAGCAGGTGATGAGGAGAAGAACAAAACAGGATGCAGGGAAGTCATCAGTCACCAGCCTACTTTCACCCAGAGCAGAGAGGGGGCACAAACCTTTCCGGCTTTTCCTGCCTCTCAGTAGCCTCTCTCTCACCTTCATGGACCCCATTACTTTGTTTTTCTCCAGAGGATTTCTTTGCAGATAAATAATTCTGCCTCTACATATACCTGAAAAACTTTTAGCTTGCATCATTTATGTGGCCTTTGGTTGTAGTTAGCTGTGTGGACCTGCAGAAAGATGGGCAACTCTATGTGTTCTTTGACAGAGGCAAAGTGGTACTAACCAGATTAGGCACAGTATTTTCTCATTGAAATCCATCTCCATCATTCTTAAAGATATTCCATTGTTCCGTTAGAGAGTGAACATACACATAGATGCTAAAACACACATTTCCATTCCACAAAGATACACATAGAGACAACACACATATACACACACACACACACACACACATACACACACACACACAAATACAAACACACACACACACCTTTCTTGAAACCAGAAAGGCAAGGTAGAAGGCTAGAATGTTGCAGTCTCACTGATCCTACAGATAAGTAACAACCTCTGCACAACTGAGTTGGACCATACAAACCCAAGTGCTGGGGGAAGAGGGTGGGACATGAAGCCTCCCAATAGATTTAAGTTGAACCATCATATTCTCCTCACTAAACTTACCTTGACTCCTCCACAGAAGACATCGACAGCACCAGAGACTAGAAGTCACCCATTGTCATTACCCAACAACTTTTGACCAGATCACAGTGCACATTATATGAAAACAGCCCCGGCCAGTCAGTGGAAGGCTACTTAGATCATCTACAGCACTTTTCTAAAACGCAGCACTCTATACAATTATGAATTGGACTCTGTCTTAAGAGTGAGCTTCAAAATATCAGGTTTCATGTTGTGAAGCCAGTAGACAAAACAGACCTTTCCTGGAAAGTAACCTCTATGGTGTGAAAGAAAAGAAGTCGTTTTTTTTTTTAAGTAGCCCTATTGTTTGATTTTTGTTATTTATTATAAGACACATTAATTCGAAAGTAATAAAAATGTTTAAAAATGAAGAGAAACAAACAAATCACTTCTCTTTCTGACCAAATGAACCATTTAGCAATGAAATGAGAAAGAAAAAGACAGGATGCTCATCTGTGAGGAGACAGGAGATCCAAAGGTCTGTGGCTATCCAGCTTAGCCAGAACAGAAATTTTCAGGTTCAGTGAGAGACTCAGGCTGAAGGGAATAAGGGAGAAAGCAACAGAGGACACTCGATGTCATCATCAGACCTTCCAAAACACTCACAGATTTATGCGCCCTCAGACAGGCTTACTCACACACAGACACAAATCCCTCAAATCATCAGTGATCAGAATGCAATGTGGAGGACATCACACTGGATGAGGATGACATTGCCAGTTGGTTTTAGACTCCTCACACTAGCTGTTATAAGTGAGTCACACAGTTCTGCATCATTTTAGACTAAAAATGCATGGAGAAACATGCTGTGTCTCTGCAGGCTATGTTGATGCAGTTGGCTCAAAACTGTCATCCTGACCCACGCATTTCATAAGCACTTGCCACATCCCTGGTCATCCAGTGAGCTTCAGAATGTTAAATCCAGGATGGGAGAACAGGCCAATGCCACACACAGCAAACAGTATTGAGAGGCTGTTAATTTAGTTTTTTTTTTTCACTGTGAACCAAGAGCTTGGCCAGAAAAAGAGAACACCATGGCAGTCTGGGAACAAGAGGGTAAAATGTCATATGATACCAAACAAGATGTCTATGAGAACCGGTCATTTGACTTTTTCAGGGGCGTTCCTCCTTCCATGCTGTGTCTGCTCTGATCTCACATGACCCCTGCAAAGCAAATGAGACCCAGACCCTTGACCTGACTCACTCAGATCTCTGTGGCTCCCATCATAGCCCGGCTCCTCCCATACTGACATACAGGTGAGTGACATGTGACTTATTCGTCTCCCTCAATAGACTGCAGTTTCCAGCAGAGCAGTTGGGTTTGCTTGCTCTAAGAGGCTAACTCCCAGAAAGACTTGTGAATGATCACAGAAGTGAACTAACTATTGGATAGGATGGGTCATTTCGATAAGTGAGTACATGGTTACATGAGTGTGTATATATGTGTGTGTATGTTTAGACAGGTGGCCAGGTGGGCCCTGTTGCTTCAACATACCTGAAGCTGCCTTGTCCAGAGGTGATAGATCTTCTCATGGGCCTCTTCATGGAGCCTCTTTGCCTCCTCACAGGACTCTTGTAGTAAAATCTGCTCCCCCTGCAGCTTTTTCTTGTCCTCTAGCAACATTCTCACTTTTTCTTTCAGCTGAGTCTGTTCACTCAGGTGCTGACTGTAGAGGGTGCTGAAATATCACCAAAAATGATGAGCTCAATCTACATCTGCCACTCCTGCCTCCTAATACCATGATTCCTGCAAGGTCCAATGTCCCCATCCCCAACAGCCCTGTGCTGGAACCCACATTAGCCATGGCAGCATCACTCAGGTGCACGCCAAAGACAGAGAATAGCCAAATTCCAGAAAGATTTACATTACTTCTGAAGACCCTGACAGGAAAAGGGATCCATGTACCTCTGGAGGCTGGATCTGCTACCTCCCACACACACACCCTGGTGCTTAACTGTTCACAGTATTGGGAAAACATGAGCAGGTAGAGGGAAACCATGCTCTGAGGGAGACAGAAGACCCATCAGGAATACTTTTCATCCATGTGTCTCATAGAAAGCAGCTCTGTAAGCTCCTGCCAGAGCCACAGAAACCATGGTGCAAACCATGTTTTATGTCTAGAAGTTCTGGAAGCTGACAGGAAAATGTTGGGAGGGGCTCTCAGAATATCACCATTAGGAGAACTCAGTCTAGGAGGCACAAGTCCAAGAGCGATAAGGCAGGCTGCTTGCTAAGAGGTAAACTGACTAGAACCACAGCCCTCACTTTGGTTCAAAGGTGGAGAAGGAAAAACATGCTGTGGGATATCTTTCTGTATGCCATGAATATGTATTGCCCCCATGGGTTAAGAAATAAGCTGCTTTGGCCTATGGCAAGGCAGAAAGGAGCCAGGCAGGAAAATACAGGAGAGACAGAGAAGAAAGGCAGAGGTGGAGGAGATGCCAGCTGCCACATAAGGTGCAACATGTCAGAAGCCTGGCAATGCAGCAACCATGTGGGATAACACAGTTGTATAGAATTGGGTTAATTTGAGATGATAGAGCTAGCTAGCCTGAAACTTAAGGCATTGGCCATACAGTTTGTAAATAATGTGAGCCTCTGTGTGTTTATTTGGGCCATTTGGCTGCAGGAGGCAGGTGGGACAGATTCCTCCTGACAGCAAGGTTGGGCAGAACTGGAGAAACCTCAGACAACAAGAAGCAGTCCTTACCAAGTTCTGGAGTCCACCCAAGTCAGGCACTCACCCGTAGGTTTTGGTCTTCTCACTCAGCTCTGTGCACTTGTACAAGGCCTCACTAATCTCCTTGGGTAATTTCTTCACATCTGACATATCCTTCTTATGCTCTGTGTTCTGCATCTCATGCTCCAAATTCAGCCTGTGGTAGGGCATATCCCCAGTAGCAAAGAACCCTGTGAACACAGGCTTTAGTACCCCATGAATTAAGGTTGTATTTTGCATTACCCTAGGCTACTGGATGTCCCACCCTGAATCCTATGTACTGGGAACTCCTGATGTGTGTTAGACTTGCTACCCTGCCACAGGGCCAGGAAAGGCTGGGTGTCAACAGGGAGGGAGACAGGGCTACATGAGCTCCCTCAGTAGGCCCGGAGAGGTAGACTAGCTCTCTAAGAAGGTCCACCACCGTGGGCCTACCTGAAATCTGTGATGACATTTCCACTGGTGTGAGAACAGAAATGCTTTGTCCTTACAAGGATACCCAGAACTCATCAATAGTATTGCCATGGAGGAGGCACTCCATGAGGATGGCTTTATAAACTCCTAAGTGGATTCCAGTGAGGGACCAGAGTGAGCACAAAGACTGAGAACAGTGATGCTCAAAGTGGAGCTCCCTGGTCTCAGCACTTATATCACTTGAAATCTTTGAAACAGGCAAATCCTCAGGCCTACTATCAATCTCTAACTCACAATATCTGAAGGAACACACACACACACACACACACACACACACACACACACACACACACACTGTAAGGGAGCCTCTCAGAGACAGTACAGAACAAACTGAGACACCAAATCCTCAGCACAAAGAGATATATTTCTCCAGCAGGGCTAGCATGGCATTGGGAACCTGCCTTTGGATCAGGCAAAGGCAGACAACACACAGCAAGCTTTTTTCAGCAGTGGGATTTTAAATAGAAAGGTTAAGTCTGTGCTAGGGTGAGTAGTTGGATAGGTTGGCAAGTGTAGCCAAATAATGAATTTTGATGGTTGGACTTTGATGTTTAGTTTCAAGAATGAGTCAGTGTTCACAAAAGGGTATGAAATAGGGGACTAAATTTAGGAATGTAATCTAATGGTTTATCAAGGGAGAGGGAGGTGAAAAGGGCAAAACCTGAAACTGCCATGTTTGCGATGTTTGGGCCCCTTAGAGGGCAATTAACATGCACACAAATCCACACAGAGTTAGGCTGTCAGAGAAATGCAGGTGTGTGGCATTGTCTCCCAGTACAAGGAACAAGACCAGAGAGGAGCAAGGATGGACTCCAGAACTTCCAGACACAAAGATGTACCAAGTAGGACCACCAGGCCCTTCAAGTTGCTCCCAGAGCAACAAGGAAAAATAAATACCTTGTCAAATACAGAGACTCAGGTTAAACTCAGAGCACCCAGTATCTCCTACAAGCCAACACCTGTCAAGGCCTCTTGAAATGCATGTTGTGATCTTACACTCTACTGCCTGTCTCTGTGAATTGTGATTCAGGCCACAGGCTCTGGTTTTCATAAGGAGGAATCAGAACAGCCTGTGTCCCATCTCACTCCTACAGGCTTCAGTTCTGCCTCTCAGATGCATTCAGGAAAATTTTTTTGTGCAGATCACCCTGGAAGTTCAGCTTCCAGTGACCCAAGGACTGCTGGAATTGACACAGTAGGGTCAAAACATTCTCCAGAGAACAGGGCATGATGAATACCTGTTGTTCAACTCATTGTTGTAATGGGCCAGGAATTCACACAGTTCATTCCTGTCATTGGTCATCATCTGTAGCTGAAGTTTCAGTTTTTCCACCTGGTTCAGCTGCTGTTCCTGCTCAGTGAGGAAGAAGGGTGTGGATATTGCCTTCCTAGCAGTCCCTGTAGGTACATAAACACAAGTGAATTTGTACAGATGAATAGAATAAGCCAAGAAGATCATGTGGAGTCACAAGAGGAACCCAGAGGAATAGAAAATGCATGGAACCCAGTGAAGCCCTCAAAGATCAGAGCAGCTCTCCTTAAGCTCTCCTCATAAGCCATGTGTCTGTCTCCAATCCCTATGGCTAGATATATGCCTCAGCCCCTACTGCTGCCCCACTGGCCCTGAAAGACATAAGCAAGGCCAGCCATGTTGGTTTGGAATTGTCAGCTCATACCTGATGTGTGGTGGTATTGTGTTCCCCAAAATATTGTGTACCCTAATAAACTTATCTGGGTTCAGAGAACGGAACAGCCACTAGATACAGTGGCTAGAAAGTGGTGGAATTCACTCCTTTAATCCTAATGTTCCAGAGGCAGAAATCCCTCTGGATCTCTGTGAGTTCAAGGCCACATTGGAAACAGCCAGACATGGTGACTCACACCTTTAACCTAGGGAGTGATGGCAGGAAGCAGAAAGGTATATAAGGCAGGAGGACCAGAAACTAGAAGCTTTTGGCTGGTTAAGCCTTCAGGCTTTTGAGCAGCAGTTCAGCTGAGAGCCATTGGGATGAGGACACAGAAGCTTCAAGTCTGAGGAAACAGGATCAGCTGAGGAACTATTGAGGTGAGGAAGCTGTGGCTTGTTCTGCTTCTCTGATCTTCCAGCATTCACCCCAATACCTGGCTCAGGTTTGATTTTGTTAATAAGAATTGTTAAGATTCATGCTACACTGATGTGATGCAAGGAAGTCCAGGAGTCCCTACTGCTTTTTACCTCCCAGCCCTGATAACCTGTGTCCACGACTAATACGAACTGAATGTCTCAGACCTGGGTACATGGATGGAAAGTTTCCCTCCTTGGTATTTACATCAGACATAAAGTGCAACAACATCCCATTCTGATACCACATTAGTGGTTCTGGGCCTCATGTTGCATTCTTTGCCACTCACAATGAACTGAAGGAGGTCGCAGCACAGCAGCTGCAGCCTTGACCATCCCTGGCCCTCTGCCAACTAACCATCAGGAATCCTCCACCTTGGATCTGCTCTTTATGAACCCAGATAAGCAGCACAGGCCCATTGCTTCATGATTACAGCTACTGAACCCCAATACTAGAAGTTCCAGTTCTAGCCTCACCTCCTCCTTAGGAAACTAGGGCTCTCTCTGCCAATCAGTGTGATCAGTCTTGACAACATATCAGTTGGTGAAAAATATAAGCACTTAGTGAATGCCTCAAGGGCAGTTGGCATTGCCACAACACTGGTGGTTTCACAGAAGATGTCACAGTCTCTCCAGGATACAATAGAATTTCCAGAGAATGGACTGTTAGGGCCACTGCCAATGATCATCACCTATCTGATAACAAGCTCTTCCCAAATTCACCAAAAGCCAAGCTGCCCTTTCCAGGAGACTTTCCTGAGTCACAGGGGAAGGCCTTCAGTACCTCCTCCTTCCAATCCCAAGATCCCTTTGATTCATTAGAATCAAGTTCATTCTAATTCAATAGTTCATCATGTGTGGAGAGCAAGAATCATTTTCCAAACACCACCCTGGAATGGCTCTTCTCATCCTGATGATCGCCAGCTAATAAGATGAGAAATTAAGAATGGGAAGAAATTAGCTCAGGACATTGGGGAAGGAAAAATCAGTTCCATGAGGT